CTGTATTTCCAGTCTGTAACCATCCTGTATTTCACCTGTAACCAGCCTCTGTTGTGAGGTCTCTTCCCCTCGCCCTGACCCTCTCTCTGCTGTTCCAGATGTTATCTAATCCAATTTAGCACCGTATTGGATACCCTCAGCCTGCTACTCAAGTTTATATAGGAGTTACTAGAGAGTCTGCATCAAATATCTTTGAAATGTCCAGGAATGCAGTCTATCTTCCCTTCATTCCTTCCTTCATTCCTTCCTTCCTTCCTTCTGACGTCCTCTGCGATAGATCTCTGGCTACTGATGTATGTGGGTTACTGTAAGCTTCACTCTCCATTACCTGTGGTGGACGACAAGGCTTTTATCACCTCGTGTCTCAGTGTTCATCATTAGTTGCCTCAGTGAGTCTGAAGCTGCTGCACTCTCCCTCACCTTCGTTATCAACTCTGCACTCTACATGTCTCGTTAATTGTCTAGGGTACTGTTCTCTCTCCTGGGGCATCCCTTCCCCATATTTGGGGCATCTCTTCCCCAGTCCACATCTGGTGGCAGCTTCCCCACTCCACATTTGGGGCATCTCCCCCACTCCACATCTGGTGGCAGCTTCCCCACTCCACATTTGGGGCATCTCCCCCACTCCACATTTGGGGCATCTCCTCACTCCACATTTGGGGCATCTCCCCCACTCCACATTTGGGGCATCTCCCCTACTCCACATCTGGTGGCAGCTTCCTCTCTATATTTCTCTAGAGTACTACTCGCGAATATGGAACACTTTTCCCTTCTACTAATATTCTTGACGTATTACACAACATACCCGATGGTTGATCAGTGCCCTTCCTTCACAAAGTATACTTTATTTCCTTCTTCTTTCACTAGTTTGAGTGTAAATCTGCGTTTCCATCACCTCTGAGTCCTTGAGTTACTCACTGCTTCTAATCACTACCTGTGATTAGTACCTGATTGGTCTCTTATCTAATCTCTACCAGGTATATGCATGGCCTCTATCTGGTCTCTACCTGGCCCTTACCTGTGGCAGGGACCCTTAGGGTATCCACTTGAGAATTGAGAAACAACTTACAAATCTTCAATTTTTTTTATTATATAATTAATATATAGCCTCAAGACCCAGACACTTGAGACAAATATAAGGCAAAAATACATTATGATCTCTGAGAAGGTGATAGTGCAGATATTGTGTGTGTTGACAGGATATTTATAATGTATTATATACATAGTATGTATTAAGTGTATATTGCTAATCTATTATATATACATATTGTCGATGTATTATACATACTGTAATTTCTAGCCGCTTCAGATCACCCTTAGTAAGGCGGGGTGTACTGTATACATATGGATAATACAGCATGGGGGGGGGAGGGGACACACAGGGATGAGAGACATGGGGTGGGATACAGGGGGTGTGAAACATAAGGACTGGGATGCTAGGGACGCATATTCACAGGTTGACCTAAATGATAGCATTTTGAAACACGTTTAATATATAATATACAAAATTTAAATATCATACAAACATCTAATGATCTATATATATTTAGATTCAAGCGAGAAACGTTAAGAAATACGTAGACGAAATTATTTTCAAATGGATATTTGGAGATGGAATGACAAATGGTCTCTTGTCACAAGCTGGATGCTCTTAAATGTTGGGAGATGATGAGATGAGAGATGCTGCGATGTGTGGGAGATAATGTCTTCATTATACACAATATACACACTCATATAAATATTATATACAGAAGTAAAGCGATCAAGCGAGCCACACTTGAAGATGATCATGTATGAGGCATACCTTATACAAGCCTGTATGATGCATACCTTATACAAGCCTGTATGATGCATACCTTATACAAGCCTGTATGAGGCATACCTTATACAAGCCTGTATGATGCATACCTTATACAAGCCTGTATGATGCATACCTTATACAAGCCTGTATGATGCATACCTTATACAAGCCTGTATGATGCATACCTAATACAAGCCTGTATGATGCATACCTTGTACAATCCTGTATGATGCATACCTTATACAAGCCTGTATGATGCATACCTTATACAAGGGAAGAATATAGTTGAGGTTAAGAGCTTTATGGGACACCCACAGCGGCTTGTCCCGTATATATGACAGTGAAAATGACCCACAGAATTCCTGTTGTACCTGTGCACGTGTATACCAGTGTATGTGTGTGTATACCTGTGCACGTGTATACCAGTGTATGTGTGTGTATACCTGTGCACGTGTATACTAGTGTGTGTATACCTGTGCACGTGTATACCAGTGTGTGTGTGTGTATACCTGTGCATGTGTATACCAGTGTGTGTGTGTGTGTGTGTATACCTGTGTGTGTGTATATCATGGCCATTGGTATTATTATTACCGACCTGTGTTATCATCCTACCTTGTTATCGCCAGGTAGGTAAGATCATCAGCACCAAGCTTGCTACACCTGCACGGGTGAACAGTCTGTCTGTACCTGCCCCTCAAGCCTCTTCTATGCCCTATCCTTGCCCCTCTTCACGTCGTATTCCTCACCTATTTGTATTATGTACCTAGCCTCCCTAATGGTATAAATCCAATGCACTCAGCACAGTCCCATCACTTGAGAATGCACCATGTAGGTTCGAAACGTTGTGTAAACTTATATTAAGTATAATACATTCTACAGTTAATTATTTCTTTTAGTTTACCTCGAACACAGATTGCATTCGGAGAAATCCTCTTACAATTAATTAAACCAAGATGCAAGAGAACTAGTCAGAAGGACAGAAGCTCTGAACGAGAAAATTATCAATACAGAATATGCCGTCATATTCAATGAAACATGTCTAAATGAAAACCTGCTGCCAGTATACTCCAATGATATATAATTTTTGTTCTGTATTTTGTCTTTGCCTCCTCTCTGCCTCCCTTTCTCTCTCTCTCTCTCTCTCTCTCTCTCTCTCTCTCTCTCTCTCTCTCTCTCTCTCTCTCTCTCCCTCGTCTACCCCACAACATGGACGCCTCGGCTGTGGCTGGTTCAGTACAGTCGGGTACATCGCGTGACAATAATTCGTAAAAAAAGAATTCTGAGTGTAAAACTTGAGCCATCAAAAGGATGAGAAATAGGACTGTGCTGGCGTCCTCTGAGCTGAAGAGGACCAGAGAGGTAACACGGGATGTACGTTGAACTCTAGCTCACAGAGTGCATGTAACTGCACACACTCAAGTTCGTAGTGATTATAACACTCTGGCATCACAGTGTGGGTGTAAACTGGTTTCTTTTGCTGTTCCATCGACCGTCACGAGCTTCCAGTAACACAAACATCAGGAGGGAGTCTTGGAGGAGGCAGGAGATGGTGTGTGGTGATGGAGGGAGTCTTGGAGGAGGCAGGAGATGGTGTGTGGTGATGGAGGGAGTCTTGGAGGAGGCAGGAGATGGTGTGTGGTGATGGAGGGAGTCTTGGAGGAGGCAGGAGATGGTGTGTGGTGATGGAGGGAGTCTTGGAGGAGGCAAAACACACCCTCGATATTCTGTGCTCAAGACTGTGTGTACTCACCTAATTGTGCTTGCGGGGGTTGAGCTTTGGCTCTTTGGTCCCGCCTCCCAACTGTCAATCAACTGGTGTACAGATTCCTGAGCCTACTGGGCTCTATCATATCTACATTTGAAACTGTGTATGGAGTCAGCCTCCACCACATCACTTCCTAGTGCATTCCATTTATTAACTACTCTGACACTGAAAATATTCTTTCTAACGTCTCTGTGGCTCATCTGGGTACTAAGTTTCCACCTGTGTCCCCTTGTTCGTGTTCCACCCGTGCTGAAGAGTTTGTCTTTGTCCACCCTGCCAATTCCCCTGAGAATTTTGTAGATGGTTATCATGTCTCCCCTTACTCTTCTGTTTTCCAGGGATGTGAGGTTCAGCTCCTTTAGCCTTTCCTCGTAGCTCAATCCTCTCAGTTCCGGGACGAGCCTGGTGGCATACCGCTGAATCTTCTCTAACTTTGTCTTGTGTGTGTGTGTGTGTGTGTGTGTGTGTGTGTGTGTGTGTGTGTGTGTGTGTGTGTGTGTGTGTGTGTGTGTGTGTGTGTGTGTGTGTTTTGTGTATCTACGCGTGTTTGGAACCGTGCGAGCGAGCCTGGGTGTTCCCAAACATTTGTCCAAGTAATCTTGAGAGCTACCACTCCACATATGTAGCCACGAAGACCTCAATCACAGCAGAATCGGTACATAAATGCCATTTGCATTCCTACTACCAATTATAATATTAATGAACCTGAATGCTGGAGCACCAAGACTGACAGTCTCTCACACGGGAGGTAAGGGAGGCGTCTTGAAGGCGGCACAATGATCCGCTCTGGCGCCAGGGATCATAACTGACATTCACAAGCGATTAAGTTTTTATATTCCAGCCTTCAGGGGGCCTCGAGGCGGGGCGGAGGAGGGTGAGACATCAACAGAAAACGGAGGCTTGACTTGTATTTACTAAACAATACCCTGAGATACACTGAAGATTCATATCTTACTCGTCAAGTTTATACAGATTACGAGAGAACTTGAAGAATTCATTCTCTCTCTGGCGCGAGACGTCGATTTCAGTTGAATCGGTAAATTATATGGAATTTATGGAGCATAAATTCCATGTTTTGATTGATTTCGACCAGTCAAATTATTTATTTTGATGGGCCGTCATTTGCCTACTGCGAGCGCCGACCATAATTTTGCACTAGCTTTATTTATTTGTCTGTTTTCCCGTTTGTCCCAGACTGACAGTGTTACAGTGTGTCCCAGGTTGACAGTGTTACAGTATGTCCCAGGCTGACAGTGTTACAGTGTGTCCCAGGTTGACAGTGTTACAGTATGTCCCAGGTTGACAGTGTTACAGTGTGTGTCCTTCAGTGGACGTGTGTAATCAGTGGGAGAAGCCACACTGTCTCCTGAAGGAAGCTGAAATCTCAGCACATTATTTTAGGCTCGTATCCTGTTATATGTTCACCTTTTTTTCTCAATATTCTCAGTATATTAACAAAGAAAACATACATTTACATTCAGCTGTCCAGAAGTATACTGACCATTGGAAGTTTGATTGGCCATAAATACACTGACCCCAGGAAGTTCTGCCGTGTACCGATACACTGACCCCAGGAAGTTCTGCCGTGTACCGATACACTGACCCCAGGAAGTTCTGTCGTTCACCTATACACTGACCCCAGGAAGTTCTGCCGTTCAACGATACACTGACCCCAGGAAGTTCCGCCGTGCACAGATACACTGACCCCAGGAAGTTCTGTCGTTCACCTATACACTGACCCCAGGAAGTTCCGCGTGCACAGATACACTGACCCCAGGAAGTTCTGTCGTTCACCTATACACTGACCCCAGGAAGTTCTGCCGTTCAACGATACACTGACCCCAGGAAGTTCTGCCGTTCAACGATACACTGACCCCAGGAAGTTCCGCCGTGCACCGATACACTGACCCCAGGAAGTTCCGCCGTGCACCGATACACTGACCCCAGGAAGTTCCGCCGTGCACCGATACACTGACCCCAGGAAGTTCCGCCGTGCACCGATACACTGACCCCAGGAAGTTCTGCCGTGCACCGATACACTGACCCCAGGAAGTTTCGCCGTGCACCGATACACTGACCCCAGGAAGTTCCGCCGTGCACCGATACACTGACCCCAGGAAGTTCTGCCGTTCAGCATTGTACTGACTTAGCATACGGCTACAGGCTGTCACTCTGGCATGGCTAAGAAATCCGAGAAAATCCTTGAATACATTTCTCATAAATGTGACAAGTTCTCTTCACACCTTTCTTAAACCTTTGAAAAGCTTTGTCGACACTTTTGTTGCTCTGCGAACTTCAATATTTCTCTTCCATAAAAACTTTAACTGTTTCGTCTCCCCCAGCTCCCTTCCCTTTACCACAGGAAGGTAAAGGGTGGGTCCCATTCACCTCAAGAAGGTAAGGGATGGTTCCCCTTTATCTCAGAAGTATAACGGGTGGTTTTCCGTTACTACAAGGGTAAGATGAGGGGGATTAGTTCTCCTTTACCTCTGGAAGGTAAGGGAAGGATGGCTACCCCAGACACATCTTTCCCAAAGGTAAGGTGACCACTAGTAAGCCCTTACCAACAACGCCCAAGTTAACACCTCTCCGGAACGCCACCAGGTAGAGCGGTTGTGACCAGCGTCAAGCGGGTATCATCCGAAGTACCCGCTTGGGTGCGGGGGAAGCGGGTAGCTTGAGAGATGGCGGGCGCGGGCTTTCAGACGCCCGGGTAGTGGTTGTGCGGGTGAGGCGGGTAGCGGGTGCGGTACCCGTTGGGGATGTGACACGGCAGGTCGCTAGAGGAGCTCTTGGCTGGACTGCACACACACCCTGGCAGGTGCTGACGGAACCTGTGGCGAGGGAGAAAACCGCGGGGAGCTCTATTAACATTGTCTTGATGGTAGGCTCTATTGGTCTAGTGGGGGCATGAGGGCTCTATTGGTCTAGTGGGGGCACGAGGGCTCTATTGGTGTAGTGGGGGCACGAGGGCTCTATTGGTGTAGTGGGGGCATGAGGGCTCTATTGGTCTAGTGGGGCACGAGGGCTCTATTGTCTAGTGGGGGCATGAGAGCTCTATTGGTGTAGTGGGGGATGAGGGCTCTATTGGTGTAGTGGGGGCATGAGGGCTCTATTGGTCTAGTGGGGGCATGAGGGCTCTATTGTCTAGTGGGGGCATGAGGGCTCTATTGGTGTAGTGGGGGCATGAGGGCTCTATTGGTCTAGTGGGGCATGAGGGCTCTATTGGTCTAGTGGGGGCACGAGGGCTCTATTGGTGTAGTGGGGGCACGAGGGCTCTATTGGTGTAGTGGGAGCATGAGAGCTCTATTGGTCTAGTGGGGGCATGAGAGCTCTATTGGTCTAGTGGGAGCATGAGAGCTCTATTGGTCTAGTGGGAGCATGAGGGCTCTATTGGTCTAGTGGGGGCATGAGGGCTTTATTGGTTTAGTGGGGGCATGAGGGCTCTATTGGTCTAGTGGGGGCACGAGGGCTCTATTGGTCTAGTGGGGGCATGAGGGCTCTATTGGTCTAGTGGGGGGCACGAGGGCTCTATTGGTGTAGTGGGGGCATGAGAGCTCTATTGGTCTAGTGGGGGCATGAGAGCTCTATTGGTCTAGTGGGGGCATGAGGGCTCTATTGGTCTAGTGGGGCACGAGGGCTCTATTGGTGTAGTGGGGGCACGAGGGCTCTATTGGTGTAGTGGGGGCACGAGATCTCTATTGGTCTAGTGGGGCATGAGAGCTCTATTGGTCTAGTGGGGGGCATAAGGACTCTACTGGTCTAGTAGGGGGGCATGTGTGCTCTAATTTTCCATACCTGTATATAAGTAACCACTGAGTATGTGCTCTAATTAATCACCACTTGTCTTTAAGGCTGCAACTCTATACAGACACCACACTCTCTCTCTCCCTCCATTATTTCCACACATTTTGTACTCTACGCTCTCTTTCACACCTCACACTACACCCTTCCCGTCACTCACTCACCCTCACATCTCACCCCCTATCCCTCCCCCCCCCCTTGCCCTATCCCTTCCCTGCCATCAATCATCATCTATCCCTCTACACTGTCCCCTTACGGTGGTTTGTAGACGATCCGCTTCATCCGCCACTCCTGGCGCGGGGTCGGGTTCTTGGCGCCCCGACGCACGTTGAAGTAGCCGTAGACCAACGGGTTGACGGTGGAGTTGGCCACCGCGAAGATGAAGAGGGAAGCCTGGACGCGCGGGTCCACCAGCTGGGCGCTTTTCCTGTCGATGAAGTACCTGGAGAAGGAGGAGACGAAGGGACGTCTATAGTACCGATCTGAGGACGCGACAGTTGCTTGAAGCAATGACACGTAGACGCACAAACCTGTATTGTGTCGTTCGAGGGAAGAATGCGATACAGGGAGATGGTGTCCATGGGCGTGTCTCTCTCTCAGGTTTACATAAATGAATACTGGATAATACTTGGGTTTACAGCAACGTCAATAGGTCGATACAGGTTTACCACAGTAATGCTTGAAGGAAAGATCCTGAGAGTTGGGATAACAGTGAACACTAACCTATCCCAACTGTCATGGATAAGAGGTTCAGTACTCTAACAATAGGCATGGGGCAGGCCACTAAATCTAACACACAGATCAACTCAAAGATCCATTATAAAACATGTTTTTCCAGTGTATGGAGAGCGAACACATTAACCCAAATAAGTGCCATTATAAGTAACTAACTCACAGCAAACCGTGAGTCAATATTGTGGCAATTGTATTCCTCTTGGCCAGGTAAAGATCAGCTACGCAAGAAGGTAAACACACTGTTGTCAAGACATAAGAAGAACACCATCCGTGCGGCCGCAGACGGAACTACAGACCACAGCAACCCCAAGGCCGGCGTGGCTCTCATCTTGAAAAAGAGGAAAATATATAAACCTCCCCTCCCACGCTGGTGCCGTTTTCTTTTACGTTACTGCCTCCAGAAATTTATAATACTATAACCGAGCAGAGAGGCGAACGTGCACCAGTGCAGATTAACCCTATGATTTTATATATTAGTTTTTTTGTGTGGTTATTCTTTCATCTGAGAGAGAGAGAGAGAGAGAGAGAGAGAGAGAGAGAGAGAGAGAGAGAGAGAGAGAGAGAGAGAGAGAGAGAGAGAGACAGACAGACAGACAGACAGACAGACAGACAGACAGACAGAGAGAGTATGTGTGTATGTGTATGCTCTCCAAGGGAAGAATGTCTGACCCAACCACTCGCATACAAAAGGCTCAAAGTCTGAAAAATGGTGAGAAAAGACTTAGTGGGATGACACAACCACCCTGGAGGGTGGAGAGAGAGAGAGAGAGAGAGAGAGAGAGAGAGAGAGAGAGGAGAGGGAGAGGGAGAGGGAGAGGGAGAGAGAGAGAGAGAGAGAGAGAGAGAGAGAGAGAGAGAGAGAGAGAGAGAGAGAGAGGGTTGTTGACCCTCCACCCTCAGCCCATCGGTTATTATTATTATTATTTTTATTATTATTATTGTTATTAGTTATCATCTTCGCTGCAGTTGTTATCTGCTATAACAGCTGCTGTTGTTTTGGGCCGAAAATGTTCGTATCTTCACACGAGCCGTCGAGGCTCCTAAGGTGATGGTTGTTATCGATAAGAATAGCGGGTTCGAGTCCCGGTCGGGTCATAATGTTGCTAGTGATTTATTGCTTGGGGACCATTCAAGCTCTCTTGCACGTGTGTGGGCTCTGCGTGATCCGTGCGTGCGCCAGGATCCGTGCATGCGCCAGGATCCGTGCGTGCGCCAGGATCCGTGCATGCACCAGGATCCATGCATGCACCAGGATCCGTGCATGCACCAGGATCCATGCATGCACCAGGATCCGTTCATGCGCCAGGATCCATGCATGCGCCAGGATCCGTGCATGCATCAGGATCCGTGCATGCACCAGGATCCGTGCGTGCGCCAGGATCCGTGCATGCGCCAGGATTTCATGAAAAACTGTATCGAAATTGCACTAGGAGAGTGGCTTAGGGGTCGTCAGTCCTGACAGACTCATGGGTGAAGTGGTTTCAGTTCTGTGTACGCCGGGGTGAGTTGGTGAGCTCTGGCTATGCAGGCTCCAGTCCTAGTCAGGTCATAGAATTCCTAGTGATCCATAGGCTGTGGGACCACTGAAGCTCTCTGAAGGTGGGTACGAGGAGAGGGACGTCGGCGACGCAGGTGAGTCGTATATTCACTATATACACCATACGGGTCTTGCCAGTAATGTAGATTGTATAAACACTATAAACACCATATAGGTTCTGCCTTGACTTGCAGTGGGAAACTAGCGGTGGGTGACAGCCGTGTGTGTGTGTGTGTGTGTGTGTGTGTGTGTGTTGTGTGTGTGTGTGTGTGTGTGTGTGTGTGTGTGTGTGTGTGTGTGTGTGAGTTAGCAGTGCATCTCCTCAGTGATAATTACCAGCTATGTGTCGTCCTTGAATAATTAGTTGACACGCATCACCTTACGGACACACACACACGAACCATAGTATTTCATGTTTGGAATGGAGAAGCCTTATTGTAAGAGCCTAGACCAGGGGAGATGGGTCCCTGGTCATGCTTAGAGGCCAGGGAGGCATGTATATTCTCTCCATTAACCTTCTCTACTCTTCCATTTATCGCAGTTAACACTCCCACACCACCACCACTATCCTGCTGGGATTATCCCTCACCCATTATGCCTATGGGTACAGAATGGGTGCAGAAGCTGGGGCAAACTTTTGTGCAGTTCTTAGATGCAGCAGAAATTGGGGATCTGGATGCAAAATGACGCTGAATACCCCAGCAGGAGACCCCAAGTCTCTCACAAATCTCTATCACCGACACTCTTCTCTCCAACACACTTCTCAACTTCTTCACTCAATGGGCCTATCTGTTTAAGTGTGCCAGCTGAGGTCACAACACACTTGATCTGTCGTTAAGGAATGTATCTTAGCTTTACTTCCTTGGGAATGTAATCTATTTAAGTAGCGTGGCGTCTCTCTTGTGAGGAGATGATAAATGCATTTGTCATCGCTGGTAATACCAGGTATCATAGAAAGATGTTTTAAGGTAATCAAGGACCTTGTTTAGAGTCCTCGTTGATGAGGTAGCTTCCTTGCTTGGATGTGTTCTTAGCTAGTTCTGTTTGCCTGGGATGAGCTTCGCCTCTTGATTCCCGCCTCTCAGCTCCTAGTCGACCCTTGTATACAGGTTCCAGAGCCTATTGGACTCTGTCACGTCTACAGTTAGAGATGTGTATGGTGTCTAACTCACTTTTTAGCGCATTCCAGTTGGCCACTACTCCGACACCGAGCAAATTCTAATGTTTCATTATTCTGTTTTATTAGTGATTCATTATTTGCTAACATAGTTTTCCTGAATGAACATCTGTGAGCTGTAGATGATGTAACGATATTTTGTGGCAGTAATACATTTTCTGTGGTAGAGAGAGAGAGAGAGAGAGAGAGAGAGAGAGAGAGAGAGAGAGAGAGAGAGAGAGAGAGAGAGAGATAATTTCCCCCTTATCACCATGCCAACCATAGTTTTGCCTCTAAGGTCTGGAAGTTTTTCGTCCATCGTCCGGAAATCGTCTCATTTCCAGAATACATGAACCTCTTCTTTTGTATGTGTGTGCGGGTGTTGGTCGGGTGTGTGGGGGTCTTGGTCGGGTGTGTGCGGGTGTTGGTCGGGTGCGTGGGGGTCTTGGTCGGGTGTGTGCGGGTGTTGGTCGGGTGTGTGGGAGATACTGGTCTGGTGTGTGGCAGGGTGAATGCACAAACCAAATGTTTACTCACAGGATTAAAGCCCAAGATGCTATAACCGGCCTTGAATCTGTGTCTGGAGTAATCTTCATCCCACCGGTTCATTACTCCTAAAAACAACACCTCCACCTTAAGGCATTGTCTAACACGTAAGACAACGCCTCACACATCATTAAGACTTCTCTGCTCATCTTCCAATCGTCTTCCAATCATCATGAAAGAGCTTCTTCCAATGCTCTTTCTTTCTAGTCCTGCTCGTGTTTACCATTTAGTTCGTGTGCCTCTCTATGATCTTGTATGTTCTCAGCATTAAGACACTCTCCGGTAAACCATAGGTGAGGTAGTATGGTTTACTTCTGTGCGTGCCTGTGATGTGTGTGTGTGTGTATTTCAATGCTACGATCGTTGTAAATCATCTTAAGGCTTGGTTTAGGTTTTGATGCCTGTTATCTTATGTACGGAAGAGAAGACGCTGCCATTCCTCCTCCTCCTCCTCTTTCTTCTCCTCCTTCTCCTTTCCCTCCTCCTCCTTCTTCTCTCCTTCCCCTCCTCCTCCTCCTCCTCCTTCCCCTCCTCCGGACGCGGTACCTCGGTGTTTCAATCAAGTTTCCCCCTTGCATAGTTCATGCTTGACCGGCATACTCCCGAGAGCTTTGTTCACTCTTTTTGCCATAACAATAAAGGTCACATTAAAAACAATAAATGACAGAACAACAATAAATGACAGAACAACAATAAATGACAGAACAACAATAAATGAATAAATGACACAACAACAATAAATGACACAACAACAATAAATGACACAACAACAATAAATGATACAACAACAATAAATGTCACAATAACAACAAATGCCTCAACAACAATAAATGCCACAATAACAATAAATGACAGAACAACAATAAATGACACAATAACAACGGACCATTAAACAATTTCTACCGGTGTTTGCCTTAGCTGGAGCTCAGCCATAAGACACTCACTCACCAGAGGCCGCAGACGTCGACCACGAGCTCTACACTAAAGTGACTTATACCATTTTGTTGTCAAGTAAAAGCCATCAGACTGACACGAGGAAGTTTGGGTTTTAAAGTTTAAAAGGTACTAGTCTAGTTGTGCTTGCGGAGGGTTGAGTTCTGGCTCTTTGGTCCCGCCCCTCAACTGTCTGAGTGTGTATATGTGTGTGTGTATAGATGTGTGTGTGTGTATGTGTGTATTTACAAGAACGCACAAATTCTTCTGGACTGCCGCCTCCCAATTACAAGACCTTTCATCCTCCTCCTCCTTCTTCTTCTCTCTATCTGCTCATCATCACACTCCATATATTGGAAAACTTTTCCTCACACAGACAGTACAAACAGCTGAGCGAGGCTGAGCCGTGACTTACACAAGCTGCTCAGGACACAATTGTCTCAGTTCGGTCTCACTCTTCACACGTCACCGTGACGGGAATAGTTACAAGAATATGCACACCAGAACAGAATGGTAAGAACAGTTAAAATAAGAGGACGAATGTGGAAGAGACGACGAACGAGAAACAAGCGTAGGAAGAGGAAGAAAACACATTTTCAAGAGGAAACTAGATTTATTCCTCCAAGGAGTGCCGGACCAATCGGGCTGTGGTGGGTATGTGGGCCTGCGGGCCGCTCCAAGCAACAGCCTGGTGGACCAAACTCTCACAAGTCGAGTCTGGCCTCGGGCCGGGCTTGGGGAGTAGAAGAACTCCCAGAACCCCATCAACCAGGTATCAACCAGGGGCTTGGGGAGTAGAAGAACTCCCAGAACCCCATCAACCAGGTATCAACCAGGTATAAGTAACAGTTTACAAGGGCTGGCAACTTACAAGGGCTGGCAACTTACTAAGGCTGGCAACTGTCATGACACAAGAGCCTGTCACTGCTGCACTGTCATGCGAGTGCCAGTCACTAGTGACAGTGTCATCACGACTATTTGATCTCAACACATCCAAGACAGGAGTTGAGTGCCTAGGTAGAGAGTTAGCATAGACTAATCTATTCTCTGTTTTGTGCAAATCAGCTTAACGCCATCTATTGTATTCCCTGTTTGTGAATTTATTATTCCTAGTCTTGGAGGATGTTTAGTGGGAGGAAGTGCCAGCTTAGCATTGCTGTGAATTGAAGATATTCAGTTAATACAGGCATTATGTTGAACAGATTTTGCAGGTTAGGGACATACTCACCCCAAGCCTGAGTAAGGACGCAGGGTATACTCACCCCAACCTGAGTGAGGACACAGGATATACTCACCCCAACCTGAGTGAGGACGCAGGGTATACTCACCCCAACCTGAGTGAGGACGCAGGGTATACTCACCCCAACCTGAGTGAGGACGCAGGGTATACTCACCCCAACCTGAGTGAGGACACAAAGTATACTCACCCCAGCCTGAAGACACAAAGTATACTCACCATAGACTCATGATGTTGTAAGGTGTCCAGCAGAAGAAGAAGACCAGGACGATGATGAGAGTCATGTGAAGGGTGCGGGTCTTAGTCCGGCCCAGCGAGGGTGGGGTCCGCTCCTCCCCCGCGGCTTCCCGGGACCACACTGCCGAGGTCAGGTCAGGTCAGGTCAGGTCTCAACACACCACGTGTCTAACTCTACTTCTCACACTATAGTAACATACTAGGAGGGTAGAAATAGCCTAAGCTACTCTATCCCTTTGAGATGTATTTATTGCTTATCTCAATAAACATACTTCAACTTGAACTAGTAACATATACATATATGACGATACTGGCAATTAACAATGATAATTTATGATGTAAATAACGTAAATCAATTTACTTAGTCTTCCATCACTATCCACATCTTTCAGTACGTAATTTCAACACATACACACAGAATCCTCACTCTCAAAATCACTACATCCATTCCACCCTACACCCACTCCTGCCTCCACACAGCGCCCATACCCCCCCCCCCTCACCATCTTTCCTGTAGAGTACGATGACGATGGAGCCGTAGCAGAAGAGGATGGTGAGGAGCGGTATGGCATACATGGCGATGAAGCCCGCCACATTGTAGAGGAGCTCGTAGGTCGGGGACGGGAAGCTGTGGAAGGTGACACACTGCTCGAACCATGGATGGTCAGGGTGCTGCTCCACGTGGAAGATCACCGTCTGGGGGCGCAGAGGGACGGGTGAGAGTGAGGGAGGAGGGAGAGTGAGGGATGGAGAGGGAGAGTGAGGGATGGAGAAGGAGAGGGGTGGGTGGAGAGAGTGGTGGGTGTAGCCGGGGTGATAGGGTGGGAGAGTGAAAGAAGAGGAACAAATAGGGGGAAAGAAGAAAGAGAAAACGAGAAAGAATTGAAGGAAGAGATGAAGGCGTGGCCAATCAACAGAGCGCCGCAGGAAGTACATTCACCCACACCATTAATAAAAAGAATAATCTGAGCAAATTTCCAGATTATACAAAAAATTGTGCGGACAATATATGCATGAAAACACCCACCTGTGTTATGGAGCAGACTCCAGGAGCCTCCCTGTCCCAGGACATCCCGAGCACCCACCTGTGGTATGGAGCAGACTCCAGGAGCCTCCCTGTCCCAGGACATCCCGAGCACCCACCTGTGGTATGGAGCAGACTCCAGGAGCCTCCCTGTCCCAGGACATCCAGAGCACCCACCTGTGTTATGGAGCAGACTCCAGGACCCTCCCTGTCCCAGGACATCCCGAGCACCCACCTGTGTTATGGAGCAGACTCCAGGAGCCTCCCTGTCCCAGGACATCCCGAGCACCCACCTGTGTTATGGAGCAGACTCCAGGACCCTCCCTGTCCCAGGACATCCCGAGCACCCACCTGTGTTATGGAGCAGACTCCAGGAGCCTCCCTGTCCCAGGACATCCCGAGCACCCACCTGTGTTATGGAGCAGACTCCAGGAGCCTCCCTGTCCCAGGACATCCCGAGCACCCACCTGTGTTATGGAGCAGACTCCAGGAGCCTCCCTGTCCCAGGACATCCCGAGCACCCACCTGTGGTATGGAGCAGACCCCAGGACCCCTCCCCCGTCCCGAGACATCCAGAGCACTCACCTGCGGTATGGAGCAGACCCCAGGACCCTCCCTGTCCCAGGACATCCCGAGCACCCACCTGTGTTATGGAGCAGACTCCAGGAGCCTCCCTGTCCCAGGACATCCCGAGCACCCACCTGTGGTATGGAGCAGACCCCAGGACCCCTCCCCCGTCCCGAGACATCCAGAGCACTCACCTGCGGTATGGAGCAGACCCCAGGACCCCTCCCCCGTCCCGGGACATCCAGAGCACCCACCTGTGGTATGGAGCAGACCCCAGGACCCCTCCCCCGTCCCGAGACATCCAGAGCACTCACCTGCGGTATGGAGCAGACCCCAGGACCCCTCCCCCGTCCCGGGACATCCAGAGCACCCACCTGTGGTATGGAGCAGACCCCAGGACCCCTCCCCCGTCCCGGGACATCCAGAGCACCCACCTGTGGTATGGAGCAGACCCCAGGACCCCTCCCCCGTCCCGGGACATCCCGAGCACCCACCTGTGGTATGGAGCAGACCCCAGAACCCCTCCCCCGTCCCGGGACATCCCGAGCACCCACCTGTGGTATGGAGCAGACCCCAGGACCCTCCCTGTCCCGGGACATCCAGAGCACCCACCTGCGGTATGGAGCAGACCCCAGAAGCTCCCCTCTCCCAGGACATCCAGAGCACTCACCTGCGGTATGGAGCAGACCCCAGGACCCTCCCTGTCCCGGGACATCCAGAGCACCCACCTGTGGTATGGAGCAGACCCCAGGACCCCTCCCCCGTCCCGGGACATCCAGAGCACCCACCTGTGGTATGGAGCAGACCCCAGAAGCTCCCCTCTCCCAGGACATCCAGAGCACTCACCTGCGGTATGGAGCAGACCCCAGGACCCTCCCTGTCCCGGGACATCCAGAGCACCCACCTGTGGTATGGAGCAGACCCCAGAAGCTCCCCAGGCCATCCACAGCATGAGTCGCACCCTCCTCTTGGCTTCCATGACTGTGAGTGGCCGCAGCACTGAGTAGTACCTGTCCACGCTGATGGCCACCAGCAGGAACCCGCTCAGGAAGACCCCAAAGGTCCTGAAGAAGGCCAGGATGCGACAGGCCACGTCTCCTGCCTCCCAAGACACTGTCCACGCCCACCCGATCTGCAGAAGACGACAGGAGAAGTAGAAGGGGAAAATAGAGGTGTTAAAAAGACAAGAATATATGAGGCAAGGGACTATATAGCTGTGAAAGAGAATGTCTGCTATGCGAGACCTAACGCTTGGGGGGCTAATCTCACCAGACTGTGCAAGGGGACAGGTGGCTGATTGTTACATAGGGTCCAGACTGACCCAACATGCCACCCCTTTGCATGAAATCGAAGGGACCTTTGCATAGGCTCGTAGAAAGGATCTCCACAAGCCTATGTCCGTCCCTTCTCCCCAGACCATTCCTACTGCAAAGTTGGGCGAGGCTACCCCAAAGCGTCTATCCTCCAAACTTGAACAGATATTCTCTCATATAGACAAGACTGATTAAGATTAAGCCAACCAGGTGGTGGCATGGGCATGAATAGCCCGTAACATATAAACAAAAATGAGGCTGGTGACATACCTCCAGGGGCATGAGGAGGAAGGTGACGAGGAGGTCGGCGATAGTGAGGTGGAGGATCATGAGGGTCACTCGGGAGGCCAGGGACCGAGATCTGTGCCTGTGAGGGAAAGTTTTCGTCAGAGTCTCAAGGAATTTGGTGTATGGGACCCTGAGTCTCAGGTCAACTGGTCCTGGGATTATTGTGACCACAGCTGTGATATGAGCAAAGTTTTTTTTTTTTCGTTCTGAAGTATTTTGTGGAACATTTCTGGGGGATTTAAAGGTGGTCACGGTACACAGTCTCTCCTACAGTGTACCTACATACCCCCTGGCAGCTGACACGGTACACAGTCCCGCACATTGTGTACTCAGGTCGTTCAACACATTGCTAAATACCAGACGAGAAACGGATTTGCTTGCATATCCTCATAAGTATCCGATAAGGAGAAAATAATTAACTATAAATAAAGATTCTAATATATATATACATACATATATTATATTATATTATATATATATATATATATATATATATATATATATATTATATATATATATATATATATATATATAAAAGGCACAACTCTCCTAAACACGAGAGTGAAGTATACAACTTTAGAACACTTTCCCACCAGGAGACTCGAACCCTAGCCAGCACAGAAAGCCTTCCAGCAACTGGCATAACAGGTACGCCTTAACCCGCTCCACCACCTGCTCAGACCCTTAAAAGAGATGGTAATTTCGGAGTATTTAAATACCCCAAAGATCAACACCTCCCAAGAGCACTAGAGCAAGTGAGGGGCCATTTATACGTTTATTTCATCAAGTCCCTGTTAATATGGGAAGACACAGTGTCTATGCTTAAGGCACAACTCTCCTAAACACGAGAGTGAAGTATACAACTTTAGAACACTTTCCCACCAGGAGACTCGAACCCTAGCCAGCACAGAAGCCTTCCAGCAACTGGCATAACAGGTACGCCTTAACCCGCTCCACCACCTGCTCAGACCCTTAAAAGAGATGGTAATTTCGGAGTATTTAAATACCCCAAAGATCAACACCTCCCAAGAGCACAAGAGCAAGTGAGGGGTCATTTATACGTTTATTTCATCAAGTCCCTGTTAATATGGGAAGACACAGTGTCTATGCTTAAGGCACAACTCTCCTAAACACGAGAGTGAAGTATACAACTTTAGAACACTTTCCCACCAGGAGACTCGAACCCTAGCCAGCACAGAAGCCTTCCAGCAACTGGCATAACAGGTACGCCTTAACCCGCTCCACCACCTGCTCAGACCCTTAAAAGAGATGGTAATTTCGGAGTATTTAAATACACCAAAGATGCCAGTTGCTGGAAGGCTTCTGTGCTGGCTAGGGTTCGAGTCTCCTGGTGGGAAAAGTGTTCTAAAGTTGTATATATATATATATATATATATATATATATTATTTATATATATATATATATATATATATATATATATATATATATATATATATATATATATATATATATATATATATATAATAACGATCTGTAGACGAGTCTTGAGTCGTATCGTAGAAAAACTTAACTCTTATGCTACTACTATTTACTCTAATTTAACTGAAATATTTTGTTAAATAAATATTATTAATAAGGATATGATTATATATTAATAAATATAAAATAATCTGCATTTTCATTGATATATTTGGAAAAAAAATAACTACTTGTTTTCTATTAGTTGAGGCCAGGGTTCTCGAAATGTTTTAATTTATTAACACAATCGTCAGCTGATTGAACGTAAATATTTACAATGACCAGCTGATCCCTGATTGGCTGTGTGTGTGCTCAAGTGAGTGAGTGTGTGTATTCACCTAGTTGTGCTTTCAGGGGTTGAGCTCTGGCTCTGTCGGCCCGCCGACAGAGGAAAAAAGTAGTTAGTAGTCAGTAACAGTTGGTTGATAGACCCTTCGAGAGGTGGGTCGAAAGAGCAGAGCTCAACCCCCGAAAGCACAACTAGATGAATACAACTAGGTGAATACAACTAGGTGAATACACACACACAGGAAGCAGCCCGTAACAGCTGTCTAACTCCCAGGTACCTATTTACTACTAGGTAACAGGGGCATCAGGGTTGAAAGAAACTCTGCCCATTGTTTCTCGCCGGTGCCGGGAATCGAACCCCGGACCACAGGATTACATGTCCAGCGTGCTGTCCACTCAGCTACCGGGCCCAGGTGGCGTATATGTGTATGTATGTGTGTGTGTATGTGTGTGTGTGTGTGTGTGTGTGTGTGTGTGTGTGTGTGTGTGTGTGTGTGTGTGTGTGTGTGTGTGTGTGTGTGCGTGCGTGCATGCGTGTGTAGCTAGTTTAGAGATCGTCAATCACGATGTCTTCCTGCTGTCCCGGCTGTCCGGTAATGGCTTGTTAGCTCAGGCAACTTCGCTGTGTCTGACAGATTGACATTAGATTTATACTGATTGTTTCCGTTTGAGATTTTCAGATGTTGCCCCTGTTTGGCGAGCCTGTGACCCGCGTCCTGAGTGACCTGATGCTTCAGGGAGATTATTCTCACCCTCGCACACTTCTCAGTGGGCATCTTCCTTCTTGACAGGAGTCAACCATCAACACTACTCCTATCATCAACTCCTTCCCTGTCACCACCACCACCACAAACACCCACCAGCCACCACCACAAACACCAGCCACCACCACCACTACCACCACCACCACCACCACCACAAACACCCACCAGCCACCACCACAAACACCAGCCACCACAAACACCAGCCACCACCACCACCACCACTACCACCACCACCACCACCACCACCACCACAAACACCCACCAGCCACCACCACAAACACCAGCCACCACAAACACCAGCCACCACCACCACCACCACTACCACCATCACCGACACCAACTTCGACCAACTAATGTCTTGTTATTGAAGTTACATAATAGCCTTCTACTTCCCTCTCTCCCTCACACCACCACCACTCGCCTCCGGCGGCTTTGGACTAAAAGGAACTTTTATCCCGAAAATTGGATTGGTGCTGGGCTAGGACAGGGAGGTGAGCTAGGACTCGAAGGTGAGCTAGGACTCGA